TTGTTTCAACTTGTATTTCCCCGATGGCTAGTGAACGAGAGCATTTCCTCATGTGTTTTTCAGCCAGCAGTGTCATTCTGCAGGAATCATCTGTGCAGGTCCTATGCCCACCTTCTCAAAGGGTTATTTGTTTTTTTCTTGTTGTAGGCTTGTAGTATGCGGTAGATCTCAATAATTAGTCCCTTTCCATTATGTCATTGTTAATATCTTTTCCCAATGTGTGGGCTCTGGATTTACTCTTTCACTGACATTTTGCAATGTACACAAGTGTTTTACTTTTTATAGGTTCCATTCATCTATTTTGTCTTGTGGAGTGGGTGCTTCCTTTGTTATATTTGATAGACTGCATATGCCCTGCACTAAGGCCCTTAGGTCAGCCCCAATTTTCTCATTGATGATCCTGATAGCTTTGGGTGTTACATTTAAGTTATTGATTCACCTTGAGTTTGCTTCTGTGTGTGGGTAGGGGGTGGGGGGTGAAGAATGGGTCCTGCCTCATTCATCTGCAGATGGATATCCATTTTTTCTAGCACCATTTGTTGAATAGAGCATCCCCTTCCCATTTAGTGCTTATTCTCGTTTAGTCCTTTGCTGAAAAATCAGTTGTCTGTATGTAGATGTTTTTATTTCTGGATTTTCTGTCATGCTCCATTGGTCTATGAATCTATTGTTGTACCAGTGCCAATTCTTGATTGGTAATTTTTCTCTTTCAACTTTTGGAATATGTTGCTCCAATTTCTTCTTTCCTGCATGGTTTCTGTGGCGAAGTCTGAGCTTATTCTATTAGTTTACCTTTGTATGGAATAATTTTTTTCTCCCTAACTGCTCTCAATATGCTCTGATTTTCCTTGAAGTTGGATAATTTGACTACTATATGTCTTGAAGTATTCGGGGTGGATGGGTGGGTGGGGGTTAATCTATTTAATGCTCTCTCTACTTCCTGGATAGTTATTGTCTCCTCCTTTGTGATAATATGGAAAATTTCTCCCATGAATTTCCTTACTATTTTATCTGTTGACTTGTTTGTTTCTTATTGTTCCTGAATACCAATGAACCTTATATTATTTCTCTTCATGATGTCCCACATCATGTTCAGACTTTCTTCAGATGCTTTTGTGTGTGTTTTTGTTTGTTTGTTTCTCTCATTTGCTGAAGTCTGCTCTGTTGTCTTCAAGACCATTGATTTGATTTGCTTCTTCATCCATCCTACTGCTCAGCTCTTGTACCATGGGTTATTATTATTATTTCTGCTAACTTGTTATTTAATTTCTGACTTTCCTTTGGGTGTGAGTTTTTCATTATCTCAATCTTTTCCTCTGTTTTCATGAACCCCAGGTCTCTTGTATGGCCCTAAACATCATTTTGCTGTACTCTTTATTGTAGTTCAATGGCTTCTTTTTCTGTATAACCTATTGGGTTTGGGTAATCTTCAGTTGCTAACTTTTGTTTCTCTTGATTTTTTGTGGTAGTTGCTGTTTGCATGACATAGTGGTCCAGCTGGAGATGATCATAGGCTTTGGGGTTGTGTAGAGTGAGGAGAGGTTGGGTTTTTGGGTTAGGGGAGGAAGATCAGGTAAGAGTTGGAAATCATATTGTGTGATGATGCGGAAGGATTGATACTTGAGTGGGTAGAATAGCTAGAAGATGGGTGCTTGAGAGGAGGCATTCAGTGATGGAATTAATCTAGGGAGGCTTCCTGTTAAATGTAGTCATTTTTTATAAATTGCAAGAGTTTAAGAGTTAAATTGGAATTTTCAGAGGTGTATTATTGCTTGATAGATTATAAAAGAGGTGTATTATTCCTCACTTGGGTGGTCAGGTCTTGAGGTAATGAATGGGGTAGATGAGGGGTATAATAAAAGAGCTACCAGAGTCATCTATTGACCCTGTAAATAACATAGCCAGTCTGCTATTTTGTTTATAGCAGAAGGCCCTTATTTCTGAGGCACACACATTTCCCTGTTCTTAAGAGAATGTCCCACATTATACTGTGGCACAGTAATAGGGTTCTGCACCACTCAATACAATCTGCCCTTTATACCGGGGTCCTAGAGTAGAACTAGACTGCAGGCGTGGAGGCCCAATGTAGAGGGGACTTCTAGTCAGATGGAGGTCCTGCTATGGACAGTAAGTCACAGCATCAGTAAGATGCCTAGCTCGGGAAGGAGGAGGCACACTGGAATACTGAGTTTCTGTTCCTTCGGTGGGAAAAAAAAGTTGATTTTTTTTCCTCCAAAGAAAATGTTAACCAATCTAAAATACTCTTGAAGCACTTAGGGAGTTCAAGTTGTCCTCCTGGGATACAGGCAGGGGCAGAATCCCTTTTTGAGTTAGCTGGGAGTTTCTATCCAGAGGCAATTAGAGCTGAACTCTGACAAGGTGTGCCTGTGGTGGGGTGGGAGGGTGGAGACTGGGAGAAGCACAGGATTAGCTAAGGGAGTGAAACAATGAAGGCTCTGTTCTGCCTCCTGAGAGCTCCATCCTCCAGGGCTCCAGGGGGTACATGAGGAAGGCGGTGCTGAAGGCTCCACTTGGGGTGTTGTGGAGTGGGACATTCTCCAAAGCCTGGAGAAAAGGAAACTGACCTGCTGAACTGGAGGAGAGGGTGGGGGGCAGGCATCCACTGCCATTTGATCTGCCAGCTAGAGGGGGAAAGGGATAGCACTCTCCTGCTGCCGTAGCAACCCTGGGAGGTAGAAGAGAGGAGACTGCACCTGTTTGCCACCTGGTGTGCTCAGCTGCATTCTCTGGGACAAAAAAAAAAATCAGAGAGGGGGGTCTAAAATATTGCTGGAGTGCCAAGAATTCAGACCCCGGATCTGAATTCCAAGAAAGACCTCCTTACTTATCAATCTCCGGGTCAAGCAAGGGTAGTTCTAGGCAGGGTACTCTGTCTTGGCACCATCTTCCCAAGGCCCTCCTCCACTAGATTTTTTTGGTACAATGGCTCTGTATATTCTTTCCATCTTCTTTTGATGCTTCTTGGGTCATTCAATATTTTCCCCATAGAATCTTTCAAGATTGAACCCCAAGGCTTGAATTTTTTCTCGAGTTCTTTCAGTTTAAGATATATTACGCCTGGTCTTCCTTTTAAATTTTATAATTCTAGGTCTTTAGGCCTTTAGTTATAATATTTAACTTTGTCTTCTTGAGCTACCCTTTGAAATTTACTATTCAGTTCTCTGACTTCATCTTTCTTCCACTTGCCTTACCTGCTCTACAATTAGGAGCAAATTTCACAGTCTCTTTGGACGCCCACTTTGATCTTTTCTTTCTTTCCTGTCTTTTTAATGGCTTTGTGCTTTCTTCATGATTGATGTTCTTGATGTCTTCCCACAGCTCATCTGGTCTTCGTTCTTCTGTCATTAGTGATCAATGCATCAAATCTCTTCTTGAAATGTTCTCAAAATTCAGGTATGATAGACTCAAAATTGTACTTTGGCTCTCATTGGCTTGCTTTAATTTTCTTTAGCTTTATCCTGAACTTACCTGTTGATACCCTGTTCCACCGTCAGCCCCTGTTCCGGTTTTAGCTGCTGATGAGTTTCTCTAGCATCTCTTTCCACAGATGTAATCCATTTGATTTCTGTGTATTCCCTCTGGGGAAGTCCATGTGTATAGAAAAAAGGTATTTGTTATGAACAATTTGTTGGTCTTGAAAAATTCTATCAGTGATCTCCACTTTCATTTCTATCACCAAGACCACACATATATTCCAACAACACTTTCTTCTTCTTTGTTTCCAACTTTTTGCATTCCAATCACCAATAATTATCAATGCATCTTGATTGCATGTTTGACCAATTTACAACAGAAGATGTTGGTAGAATTCTTCAATTCTTTTGTCACTAGTTTTTGTGGTTGGTGCATATATTAGAGTAATAGTTGTATTGATTGGATTTCCTTTAATGTGTATAGATATAATCCTATCACAGACAGCATTGTTCTTCATGATTGATTTTGCATTGTCTTTTTGAACAATGAATATAATACCATTTCTCTCCATTAAGTTATTTCTAATATAGTAAATTTTATGATTTTCTAATTCAAAATTGCCAATATTAGTCCATTTCAGCTCACTAATGCCTATGATAGTGATCACTATGTGCTCCATCTCATATTTCACAACTTCTAATTTTCACTCTGCAGTCATGATTTTTGACCAATTCTAGTTTGGTTTAACACAAGTTAAACTTTTCTCATAATAAAAAGGAAGGGCAGTGAAAAAGAGGAAGACCCTCAATGGGATGGATTGACACAGTGGCTGCATCAATGGGCTCAGGCATAGGAACAATTGTGAGGATGGCACAGTACCATGCAGCTTTTCATTCTGTGGTGCATAGGCTCTCTATAGATTGGTGCCAACTCAATACAACTAAGAACAATGAAGAGGCGGTCGCCAAACCTAAAACTTTCTTTCAGGCATAGTAATCATTGAGAAGCTATTATTGTTATTTATCGTTTTATTTTATTTATCATTCTATTTATCATTATTGGTTAATCTTCCTTGTATTTATTTTTGTAGTTAGTTACCTTTTTATCCTATGGGATAGTGTTTTTCCATTTGAAATTTTCCTTGAAATAAATGAATTTAGTGGGTTTTTTTAAAAAGCAATTCGACTTTTAAAAAACTAACCAATTATATAAACGCTATAAGGAGGTAGCAAAACCCATGAATAAGTGACACAGATGGCTGATAGCATGGGGTTAAATTATGTGTTTTTTCTTTCATGGAGACTTTGTTGTCTCAAATGGGCTAATCTCTTGTTGGAACCAGAGATCATAACTTTGATGTCTTCAATTCCCCTTGTACCTAACTCAATGCCATGTACATAGTAGGTGCTGATGAAATCTAACTTTTTGATCATTTTTCCAGAACTCTGAACTGGAGTGTGTCAACCCATTTCATGTTTGGGAATGCTGAGACCCCACAGGACTTGCCCAGGGCCCAAAAGGAGGCAGTATAAGGAGGTAGAAGATTATTTTTTATCTTGGCTTACCACAAACTTAGAAGTTTTTGTCTCCTCAATGCGAGCTGATGCGATCTCAAAGAGCAACTTGACATGTTTCCATTGGCATTTCTCATTCCTCCAGTACTCCTGTAGCTCTTTTGTGGTCATGCTGGAGTTAGGGCTTAGACTGCTGGAGGGATCTGCAGAGAGAACATGCTTTGAGATTTGTACCAGCCACTTTACTTTAAAGGCAAAACCTTCAGAAGATGCTGGGTCTGTGCAGAGTGGGACTTCAGAGTTCCTGAAGAGGGGTGAATAGCCCCTCTACCCAACACTATTTATAGGGCCAAACAGATCCATCAACCACAGGTCTATTTCCAAACTACCCATGTCCACCTACCACTGACACTGATCATTGAGCAATGTCAGATTACCCAATAAATAAGGTAAGCATGTGATTACGTGTGCTGACTTACTAATTTGTAGTGAACAATTTCACTTTTTTTTTAAACCACATTAAATATTCAACTTCTAGTTCTGGCTGGTATTTGCCTCTCTCCCAACCCCATAGCACTTTCCTACAGAATTAAGGCCTTTTTTGATTGTTTACCCTGACAGGGACAGAGTACCTGGTAAACAAGATAAACACGGACTTACATGTGTTTGCTTATTTACTAATGTGTAGTGAATAGTTTCACAGGTTTTTGTGGTGAAACCATGTAATGTAATTTACTACAGATTATCAAATAAGTACAGGAGCCTTGTACTTACCTTGCTAATTAGATAAACTGTCCCTGAAAATGGCCACCATGCCAAGGTGGTTTCTTGGTTCTGAGAGGCTGCATTGTGGTTGTGCTGCATTTCCTGCTTCTGGACTGTGGACTGACATTGTGAAACCATGTGCTTCTGGAGAAACAGACTGTGGCCCACTCATCTCTGCACACCTTACAGCACTAGCTCTGTGGTGGTTCCCAAGACTCTTTGTGCATCTACCAGTGAATGGTGGAGGAATGCTTTCTTTCAGGCTCTGCCTGTCTGGCCCCTACCTTACTCATTTCCCACCTGCTTTTTGCCTCTGTGCACGTCACTCCTTCTTTAAATGAAACCCAGTTCTTTCCCTGCCTGGCCTGCTCTAACACAGTGTTTCTTAAAGCCTTTTGTGAACCCCGAGTACCACTGAGAATCTTAGAGAAATGTAGAATTCCTTCCCAGTGAAATGCACACACAATTTTGAATCTTATTTCATGGATCCCCCAAACCCTTCTACAAAGGGTCCTTTAAGGTCTAGAAATGGTATGGATCATTTCTACTGCCTCTTATCATTAGATTGAGATCATCTTATTCCTTTGGCATGTTTTATGACATTTCAAATTAGTTTCTAATGTTTCTTCACTAACCTTGAGAGTCAACTTAGTGTTTGATTTGTTCCTGTAGAACCTGAAATAGAGCAGGCTGTCAATGAATACATCCTGAGTGATTACATGAATGAATGAATGAAATGGAAATTTGTTGAAGGAGATGGTACTATAGCAGGCATTGTCAGTGCCATCTCATGCTGACTTAACACTTACTATGTCACTGACTTTTTCTTAGAAGTACTTGCCAGTTTGTTGGGGACATAAGAGCTTGCTCAAAAGCATCCCTCATCCAATCAAGAAGGGTTTGAGTGGGTAAATAGCCTGACTTTCTTGCCACTCAGATGAGACAATTCTGAGACAGGCTTTACAGAGTTTCCCAAATGATCTCCATTAGGGTTGACACCCCACCACCACCATTGCCTACAGCAATAATCTTTTCAATGACATTCTATATTGGCATCTTGCCCTTCCCTTCCTCATTTTCCCACACTCCCATATGCCTCCTACAACTATCTCCCAGATAAACAATTTGTACCCAAATCCTTGTGCAAGTATCTACTTTGGGGTAATCCAAGGTAAGAAAACTGCCCAGCTAAAAGACACCAATGCATACATTGAATGAGACCCACACACTTACTTCAAATATCTTCAAACCTCTACATCTTGACCAAGCCCCAAGTTTCAAGCCCACCTAAATGTCCTTCATGTCCTGGGTGTGGGATGTCTGCACTAGCAGCTGATGCCTCCTGCTTGTTCCTTGTCATACCCTGGGCTACAGGATCCCCTGTCCCATCAGGACTCCTGTGATGCTTGAGATTTACCAAACTCCACTGCCATGGACATAATTCAGTGAGTGCCACTCATGTTGGGATTTCACATGGTCCTTATGAAACCTGCCATCTGTGCAATAATTTCTGTTGACAGGCAGAGAGGATTGACAACAGTCTTGTTACTAAGCCCTCCCCCACCCAACAAGCTGCCTGTTGAGCTGCCATATTCTAAGGGCTTCCCCTTTGCATCCAGTGTGGTATGGAGAGTTGGACAGATCTCTCCCAGAATGAATCTATCCCTATTAATCCTTATATCATTGAGTTGAATTTTAAATAAGGTGATCAAAGCAAAAGCAATAGCTTCAGTGAAAGAGAAAGATGCTTATCTAGATAAATGTTTCAGTACTTGGTGAAATCTCAGTATTCAGAGAAGGTCTTTACTGATGAGATTTTCCTCATCTGTCTCTTTCTCACATAACTTGGTAGGACCTGGTGTAAATTTGGGACTTAAGAGCATTAAGAGTGAAGGGGTGGAGTCTAGTCTATCAATTGGGTCATAGTTAATGAGGCCTCTGTGTTGGCATGGCTTTCTCCTGAGAATTCTGGGAAATCTGATTTTTTTTTCCTCCTGGGAGGCAGGAGACACTTACTTCTCTCTCGCTCTCGCTCTTGCTCTCGCTCTCCTCACTCCCTTGGAGACATTGCAGCTGACAAGACACATGGAACTACACTAGTGCCCTGAGCTGGAAAAGCCACATGGGCCTACCCTGATGGAACCAGACCTCTAGAGCCGGAGAAGCCATGTAGAGACCCTTGCCCGCACTGAGATGCTTACAACACCACTGGATCTAAAGACTTTCTACTCACTGGCCTGTGATCATCCTGCATTCTGTGTCATTGCATGTGTTTCGTGGCCTGAAGAGAACTTCATAGATTAGTGTTGAACATATGGGCTAATATTGGATTTATCAGCTTGGACTGGACTGGGTTGGGATGCTTTCTTAAAATACAATTACCCTTTATATAAAACGCTCTCTTATACACATATGTGTCTTTATGAATTGTTTCTCTAGTCTACTCAAACTGACACACTAACTATATAAGCAAACATTTACAGACAGCTTACTATACCCACCTCATACCCACCTAGGTTCTTAACACCAACTATCTTATCTAACACTCACAAAATATTGCTCCTGGTTAACAGATGAGGAAACTGAGGGTTAGCCTGCAGTCATGCAGCTGGTGAGTGTGCCAAATAAGTTAAGTCTAATTTGTTTCAAGTGTTTCTTAAATGTCAGGGTGAGTACTCTGCTCTTGACCAGACCTTTCTTATTTACTCCTATCACCCTGGATGATATAAATTGTCATGTCCATTTTTCAGTAAAGGAACTGTTAGAGTTACCCAAGATCAAGAGCTGCTAGATGGTAGACAGGCCACAAACTCAAGCTGGCCTGTTGCAGAATACTCTCCACCCTCCTCTGAGTGGAGGGCAACAAGGCAGAGTCCTGGGGTACAGTTTACACAATAATTCTATTCTCAACCCATGTAAACAAACCAGTTGAAAGAAGCAACAAAGCCCACATGGAAGAAGCACACCAGCCTATGCAACCACAAGGTGTCGAAGGGATCAGGTATAAGGCATCATCAGAACAAAAAATTTTACCATAGTGAATGATGGGGGTAGTGCGGAGTGGAGAACCAAAGCCCATTAGTAGGCCACTGGAGATCCCCTTGCAGAGGGGTCTCAGGGAGGAGATGAGCCAGTCAGGGTGCGATGTAACAATGATGAGAAATACAATTTTCCTCTAGTTCCTAAGTATTTCCTCCCCGCTCCCACTACCATGACTCGAATTCGACCTTGCAAGTCTGGCTAGACCAGAGGATGTACACTGGTACAGATAGGAACTGAAAATACAGGGAATCCAGGGCGGATGAGCCCTACAGGACCAGTGATGTGAGTGGCGAAACAGGGAGTGTAAAGGGAGAATGGGTAGGAAAGAGGGAACCGATTACAAGGAACTATATGTGACCTCCTCCCTGGGGGACAGACAACCGAAAAGTGGGTGAAGGGAGACGTCGGACAGGGCAAGATATGACAAAATACCAATTTATAAACTATCAAGGGCTCATGAGGGAGGGGGGAGCGGGGAGGGAGGGGAAAAATGAGGACCTAATGTCGGGGGTTTAAAGTGGAGAGAAAATGTTTTGAGAATGATGTACAAATGCGCTTTACACAATTGATGTGTGTATGGATTGCGATAACAGTTGTATGAGCCCCTAATAGAATGTTTAAAAAAAACAAAACCAGTTGATGTGACACCTAGCACGCTACTGAACTTCTTTGTGCTTCAGTTTCCAATGAAATGGACATAACAATAGAACCCACGCTCATAAGGTTAGTATGAGGATTAATTCTGACAAACCATTAAAACATTAGTTCAGGGCCTGGTACATACCACAAAAAATAATATTATATGGGGAATGCCACATAGTATTACCTCCTATAATGGTCAAACACATGCTATATGTGTTATGAAATACTTGTGAAATAAATGTTCTAGCAATATCCAAGTTTGAATAGAATCGAGCATGTCTAAGAATGGGGCAATGAAAAACCAGGTGTAGCTCAGACAGAATGAGTCGCTTAGGTACCACTTAACTTCAGAAATGTGAAATAAGGAGGATGCAAGTTACTTCACCTCCTTCCCAAGAGAATCTAAGGAAGCCATAGTAGTGGACATGGTGTAGAATTGGGTTCCTGGTCCTAGTGCTAAACACTTGGCTGACTGGTCCCAGCCCATAGTGCTAAACCTCCATACTGACTATGGCCTGGAAAGAGGTAAGACCACTGCTACCCCCACAGCTATCACTAGTCCCAGGGTGTGATCAGAGCCCATCTCTCAATGCAGGGATCCAACTCCTAGAGTTGGCCTGCATGGGGAGAGATGAGGTCAGCTGGGGTCAGGAGCTCTTGCTTGTGTTCTGTGACAGTTGCCCTGGGACATTGTGGCTCTGTACAGTTGGTCAGTGAGAATGGTGGCCCTCCATCCAACCTCACTTTTGAGAGATGGGAAGACCAGGGTGTTAAAGAAGGGTATGGCCTGGGGCTGTGCATATTCAACAGTGTGATTGTTTCCCTGACTATAGGGTATGCAATTCATCAATTTATCATCTCCCCTAAAGAAGTCTGGAGAACTAGCCTTCCATCCAGACAGCCTCCATATCCTTAGACAAGCTATTAATTAACCGATTAATTAATTAACACATCTAGTCCTTGATTGTCCCATCTACAAAATGTGGTCACAAGCCTTATCCCCTTGATAAGATAATAGATGACTAGGGACAGGTTCCCTATGTTCTGATAGGTGTCCAGACAAAATGGTGTGTAGGCCACATGCTATCTTGTCTAGTGGACACTTGGTGTCCAAGTTTATTGGAAGGGTGTCAATGTTTTGGGGAGTCATTCAATTGCATTTGCCTCACTTTTTCAGCTTATTTGAAAAATGGACAATAGTGAGTGGAATAGAACTCAATAATCTCAGCTTTTACAGTCCTGTTTTTTATGATCTAGCAACCGGCTCTAAGTCAGAAGTAGAACACTATTTGCCCAGAGGGTCCTACAAGACTTCAGAAATGATAGCCTTAGCTGGACACTCTAGCAGAGACCTAGGAAAGTTAAGCATAAATCCAAGGCTTGGAAGATAAATCAAATTCAGTAGCCCAAACCAAAGCCAGCTCCACTATGCGTCCACCCAAAAAGGAGCAGGAGGTATTGGTGCCTCCCATGGGGTCTTACACAGCTTCCCATCCCTCCCCAGGCTTCAGTTTCCATGTCTATGAAATGAGAAAAACAGTCCTGGACCCCCAGTGGTCGCGGGGATCCTGCAGGCTTTTCCCTCTACTCAGTACCCTCTACCAAAGATTTATAGGCTTTACAACAAAACACTACATAAGCTGATACTGTTGACTTAGGGCTTGCATGTAGTCCACGAGGTCCAGGAGATTCTCAGACCCTCTCCCACCCAATTCCACGTGTAGGAACAGCAATTCTCCCCATCCTCACCTTCATCCACTCCTCCAGGTGCCCTACAATCACTGCTCTTTCCAAGGATGTTTGCATGAGCAGTCAGGGCAGGTTGTAGATGCCTTTCAACATGGATAAGACCCAGGAGGGTGAAGTAAGTTCCTCAGCCCACTCTGGAGACAAGAGGCCACATTATACTGAGTGTGCCAGCTGCCTTGGTAGGCTAAGGATGAGCACCAGGGATGCTCATTAGAAGAATCATCACCAAGGGCAGGGTCTGGAAATGTGAATTCAGCAGATTCTCCTAGCAGACACTAGCAGATCTGTGAAGGAGCTTGGATTCTGAATTTTTCACAAGTTCTCTAGGGTTACACTGATACAAATATAGATTTTAAGACTTGTTCCTCAACCCTAAGAGAGAGGAGTTGTATATGATTCTTTCATTCCCAAAAGGATTGAGATTGTTGGGGGGACGAGAACTGGTTCTTGCTGAGTCCTAATTTCTAATGAAAGCCCCACACAAAGAGGCTGTGGCCTGCCCTACTCCCACCAGGTACTAAGGAAGGACACTGAAGGAGGGGATTCAAGTGTACAGAGGGCAGCAGACAGAGCTTGGGATCAAACACTGACCTGAGGCCTCTGGGCCTTGTGGTGTGTCCATGGATCCAGGAGAGGTATCAGAGGAGAGTTAGATCTACCTTCAGAGATCCATTCTAAAGACTGACAAGCAGACAAGTGGCTGTCGCTTCACTAAGTTCCCTGTTTGAAAACAGGAAATGGGGTGTGTGACCTGCTCTGAGTCAGCCTAGCCTACTGGTTGGTGAGAGATAGTGGTTGAACTCAACAGATGGCTTGCTGCACCTAGCCCTCCTGCAGCTGCCTTCAGGCAGGGCGGGGCCAGCTTTGGAGGGTTTTGTCATTGGCCTTGTAGCATCATGATTGTCTTTCAGAGTCCTGGATGATCCTTGGCATCTGGACAACAATTCTCAAAGACCTTTAGCATTGAATATCCCACCCAGTGAGATTGCATACTGGGACCATTATCCTCCAAACAGATGGGGAAGCTGAGGCTTGGAGCACGGAGCTGATGAGCTGCAAAGGCAATGCCTTAGGTTAAAAAAAAAAAAAAAGTGTAACTGGGTTCAGTTTCTTCTTTGTTGCCCCTTTCCTGGGCAAAGATGTACCCAACACTACCAATAAAAGTAACAGGGAAACTAAACCACTGAGTCATGATGTGATTCAACGATGTGATAGAGGACAATAAGCTGAGAAGGAACAAGAAATAGACCCTCATCAACCCTTAAAAAATCCACCCATGTCACAAAATAATAATTTATAAATTATCAAGGGTTCATGAGGGAGAGGGCAGAGGGGAGGGAGGGGAAAAAATGAGAACCTGATGCCAGGGGCTTAAGTGGAGAGCAAATGTTTTGAGAATGATGAGGGCAATGAATATACAAATGTGCTTTACACAATTGATGTATGTATGGACTGTGATGAGTTAAAAAAAGAAATGTAGTTGATATTGTTCATATACCAGCCTGAGGATGTTTGTTAAGATAAAGTTGTAGGCAATCATGGAGAAAAAGAATTTATGTTCAAGTATATTATATTTCATCTATTTAGTAATAGCTGGAAAAAATAACCCCCCAATAAACTTACTATATGGGAAAAAATGCACCCATGATCTCTTGCCAATCACGATGTGCACCTCCTCATAAGAGGTAATCACAGTCTTGATTCTTTTATGTATTCATTTATAAATTGATCTAGGTGAAAGTTTACACATTTTGTTTTGCGACATTGATTCCGATTTCCACAATATAACAACATTCTTCCCACTTTCTTCCTGTGTTTTCCATTTCCCTTCCTCCTTCTTCCCTGTCCCTTCTTGAATTCTGAGGTTTACCCTTGGGCATAGCTACTCTTTGGATCTCATATAGTTCATTGTTGTTTACCTTATAGGCCTGTCCATCATTTGGCTGAATATTGAGCCACAGAGGTAAATTCAGTTCCAGCATTGACTCAAGGTCAATGGTCTAAGGGTTCCACCAATCTCTATCAGATCTGTAAGCCTGTCTTTTTATTATATTAAGTTTTGTTCTACATTTTTCTCCTAATCTATCCAGGACCTCTGTTGTGATCCCTTATCAGAGCAGAGAGTAGCGGTGGTCAGGCACCATCTGGTTCTTTTGGTATCAGGGTCATACAGGCTAGAGTTCCCATGGTCCATTAGTCCTTTGGACTAATTGTTTCTTTGTGTCTTTGATTTTCTTCACTTTTCTTTGCTCCAGATTGGTAGAGACCAATAGTTGCACCTGAGATTGCCACTTACAAGCTTTCAAGATCACAGTTGCTACTCATCAACGTAGGATGAAGAATGTTGTCTTTGTGGACTATTAATACCAATTGACTTTAGTGTCCCCCAGATATGGTTCTGAGCCTGCAGGCCCAACAACTTATTCCCTTATGGTGTTTGGTTATGTTAAGATGTTTCATAACTTTGCACTCTGTATATTCTGCTCTATTAATGGATATCATATTTACAGTACATTAGAGTTTAACTTTGCTTGTTTTTAAATTTTATATTGAGTTATACATACAATTTTTTTAATTTAGTAAAATTTAATTGTTCAAAATGTACATTTGATTGGACCTATTGAGGCATCTTCACTGGCCACTGGGGCGTCTCTGCCTTTCAGGGTTCTGGGTGTAAATTACTCTAGCTCTGTGTTTTAAAGCCAGTTTGAGAAGACTAAGGCGCTCCTGGACGGTGGCCCTGGCCAGGGAACCTCAAATCTCCAGTCTCTCAGAGACAACAGGGGTGATAAGCTTATGGTTGGGCCCTTCTTTACAGAGCTTGTCATAGGTGGCTTTGTCAAACAAGACCCAGCTATTGAGCTTGTCCTCAACTTTGCCTTTGGCCTTGCCCTCAGATTTGCTTATGAGGTCTTTGCGTTTCTTGGCCAACTTTCCAGCAACCTTCTTTGTCTTGTCATCCTTAGGCAGCATTACCAACCTTGGAGAGCAACTATTACAGCCACAGCCTTGCTACAATATGAATTTTTAAAAAGTCAATTTGTATTATTTGGTGTCTTGCTTTTTTCAATCAACATTCTGCTTGTAAGATTCATCATTAATATTTTTGTAGCTTGAGTTGTTCCTAATTGCTATATTGCTACAATATTTGAATACATCACTCCATAACCTTCCTACCTGCCCCCACCCCTTGGCTGACTGCCGAGTTTGGGCCATCATGATTAATGCTGCTGGAAATAATCTTCACCTTTATCCCAATGTGTACACTTCTCTGAGGTGAAATGGACAGATCTTAGAGTAGGAATGACTTCAGCTGTCCTAGCTCATGCCAAATGTTTCCAGAAAGGTTCTACCATCTTGCATTCCTGCCACAGTAAGTGTTGCTGTTTCACACATCCTCCAACAGTTGCTGTTGCCAGTATTTTTATTGTAGCCATTCTACTTGTGCAGTCATCTCTCACCGTGGTTTTAAGTTGCATTTTCTAATGAATAATGATCTTGATCTGCTCATGTGCTTATGTGTTAGCCCTACATCCTCTTGAAGGAGTCCTGATGGTACAGTGGTTAAAGCGCTCAGCTGCGAAGCAAAGAGTTGGCAGCCGTAGTCCACCAGCTCCTCTAGGAATGAAAGATGTGGCAGTGGCCCCTGTAAAGATTCTCAACCTTGAAAACGCTATGTGGCAGTTCCAGTCTGTTCTGCAGGGTCACTATGAGTTTGAATCAACTCAACAGCAGCGTGCTACCATGGATTATCCTCTTGGGTAAATTATCTGTTGAACAAGTCCATTGCTTCATTCTTTATTGGATTATTTTCTTAATGATTTAGAAGTGTTTTGTGTATTCATTTGGGTATATGCCCTTCTCAATATCCTTTTCCAACTTGCGATTTACATCCACTCTCTTAATGGAGTGATTTGATGAAAGAGAAATTATAAATTTGAAGTATTCAACCATATGAATATGTTCCTTTATAGTCAGAAACATATCTTGAGGTCACAGCCATTTCTCCTTTATTTGTTTCTCCACAACCTCATAGAACTGTATGAGTCTTTAGATGTGCCAAGCACTTAAGACATTACTGGCACATATTAATTTATGTATATTATTATTATTTTAATAATTTTGTTTTTCTCATTTTGGGACTCTATAATAATATGCTTAAAGTACATTTTTGTTGTATGATGTGAGGGAGGAGGAGCTTTGGTGGTGTAGTGGTTACACATTAAACTGCGAACCACCGGGTTTGAAGTTTGAAACTACCAGCTGTTCTGAGGGAGAAAGAAGAAGGGGCTTTCTACTCCCATAAGGGGAAGTTCTACCCTGCCTTATAGGGTTATTACGAGTCAGCATCCTCTCGATAGAAATGAGTTTAGTTTGGTTTGGTGAAGTAGGAGTTCTGATCCCACCCCATGTTTACCTAAACCCATTGCTATTGAGTTGATTTGATCTTTTAAAACTGGAATTGCCATCCAATTCCATTGCTCTACAATGTCATCACTGTCATGAATAGAGTATCCACATATGTAAGAGATTGTTTCAGGGCAGCACTCAAGTGGAATATCATGAATAGTGTGCCTCTGACTTGCTGGCCGATGAGCCACGCGAGTGCTAAGTCGTGTCTCATTCAGTTGTGTCACTCTGCCCCACAGAAGACTCAGAACAGCTGCTCTCATTCTTTCTATTGTTGCCTTCTGCAGCTTTCTTCCCCACTGTCTTCTCTGCCTTGTGCAGGCCTGAACTCTGTGAGACACACAGACAGACTCTGACCTCTACTCTGTGGTATGAGGTCTGTTATGAGCCTCTCAGAGCAACCGGCAAGCAGAGAGGAAGTGTGTGGTAGTCAATACTTCCTCTTCTGAGTGCAGAAGATCCTCTGTGGAAACTCCCTGATTCAGAAGACTCATTTAACTTGTAGAGGAAGGGCAGACATAACTGGACTGGAGTGATCAGAATACACCACACTGGACCACCCTCTATGCATCCAAGTATGTGTTTTTCTCTGAGGTTGAAGTTGATGGATTTTAGAGATGGAAGAGCTTCAGCTGTACTAAATCATGCTAAAGGGTCCAGAGTGATTGTATAAAACACGAAGCTTATTATCTTCTTGTGCTCTCTACAGCACAGCGCTCTACTGGCAAAAGAGTAAGGTGCTCCTACCACGGAGTTGGGGCGAAGTATAGGATTAGAAATGGGTATTCCCCATTGCAGTACTGAAGCCAGTGGTGAGCAGACACTTAGGAACCATGGTGATGCATACAAGGGAATGTTGACATCTCAGAGTCAGGTGCTGCAAATAAAATTCAAAGTCAAAGTGTATCTCTCCCATACTTGGATTCTGAAATGAAAGAGCAGCCTCCAAAGTAAACCCTAACTTGCTGCTAGAACCTGTAAGTCCCTCCACAACCTGCTACTCACCATTCTACTAACCAAACTTTGTACACTCCAGCATCACTCACTGCAGCCAGTCTCCCTGAACTGCTTTCTGATCCCGGAGCATGCCTCCGTCTTCTCTTGAGTCTTTCCAGGATTATCACTTTCAGGATCAGTTACATTGTCTCTCCTCCCTGTAGCCTTCTCGCTGGCCCTTCTATCAAGAGTTATCATAGTTTTATTTGTTGACTTATTTGTTGTCTGTC